TCTGCCACACTCGGCCAGGTTTGTTCCCACTCCTCCTGCACTTGCTCTTAGATCTCAAAACAGGAATGCTGCTTGTATTTCAGGTCAGCCAGCTTCACACATGTGCCATGTGCACCCCTCGCTCAGAAGGGATCTGTACTTGGTTTGGATCTATTGTTGCCATCTTGAAATTCTTAATACTCTTTGAACACGGGGTCCGTATTTTCATTTTGCACTGCGCCCTGAAAATTGTGTAGCTGGTTCTACTTTCAGGGATTGTATTAGAAGTCTCCTCCTCAAAGAGGCCTTCCTTGGCCACCTATCCTCAAGTAGCCCCTCCCCTTCTGAGTTACTCGCTATCCCATTATTCCCATTTAATTTTCTTTATAACAGTTGTCATGCTTTTATACATTCTGGCCTCTGTATTTATTTGCGTGTTGTCCAGTTCCCTCCCTTTGGAACGCAGCGTGAGCACCTATAACACAGAGACTGCTGTATGCCCGGTGCAGAATGTAATGAGTGCCCAATACATCTGCTGAATAAACTATTGAAGGGTTGAACTTGCTGGAAGCAAGAGAAGCACTATTCTGGGTATAATGGAAATTTTAAATGTACTTGATTTTAAATGTACATTCTAATCAATACTTAAATTTGTATAGTGCTGGTCCAAACAGATAAATTCTGGCTTCATGATGATGGTTAAGTGGAATATAATTTTCTCATTTTGTATTCAAACTAGACCTTTTTCATGAAGGAGTTTGAAGTCTAGATTCAATGCCTACCTTTGCTACTTATGTTATATGAAACTGAAACAATTATTTTATTTTATTTCATTGAGATGGAGTCTTGCTCTTGTTGCCCAGGCTGGAGTGCACTGCTGTGATCTCAGCTCACTGCAACCTCCACCTCCCAGGTTCAAGCAATTCTCCTGACTCAGCCTAAAGAGTAGCTGGGACTACAGGTGCGTGCCCCCACGCCCCACTAATTTTTGTGTTTTTAGTAAAGACAGGGTTTCACCATGTTGGCCAGGTTGGTCTCGAACTCGTGACCCAAGTGATCCGCCCGCCTCAGCCTCCCAAAGTGCTGAGATTACAGGCGTGAGCCACCACACCCAGCAATAATTTTAGTTTAGTCTGAAAAAAATTTTTTTTTTGAGACGGAGTCTCGCTCTGTTGCCCAGGGTGGAGAGCAGTGATGCGATCTCAGCTCACAGAAACCTCTGCCTCCTGGGTTTAAGCAATCCTCCTGTCTCAGCCTCCCGAGTAGCCAGGATTACAGGCACCTGCCACCACCCCCAGCTAATTTTTGTATTTTTAGTAGAGATGGGGTTTCACCGTGTTGACCAGACTGGTCTCAAACTCCTAACCCAAGTGATCTGCCTGCCTCAGCCTCCCAAAATGCTGGGATTACAGGCCTGAGCCATTGTGCCTGGCCTAGTCTGAATTTTTTTTAAAAGGTTATTGTTCTATCTTCCAATGACATTGCACTCTATGTGGCTCAATAAAACATTTTCATTTATAATAACTAATTTGACCTGCTTAGCAATCTCTAAGAGAGAGAAAGTAGCTGTAATTCTTCATTTTACGGGTCACGTCAAATCATTTCATACATTCTAGCTATGTGGAAGCTTGGGGAGAATATGTGAATAATAATCACAGAACTTCAGAGCTGGGAGTAACAGTTGGAAATATTTCTTCCAATAATCACATTTTTTATGAGAGGATGATGAGGTCCAAGTGGACAGGACCATGAGACAACCGTGTGGCAAGGAAGTTAATGAAACTTGACCTCTTAAGTCAGTGATCTTTATGTCCATCATTTCTTTTGACCAAGTGAGTTAGCCAACCTTTGTCTGCAAAGGGGGAAACTTTAAATTGAGTATTTACACTCTGCTTCTAAAATTTTGCTTATTATTGTGAATCATCTTCTTTAAGTTTATTAAATGAATGACTGAATAAATGGACATAAGGAAAGGAGGAAGGGAGAAAGGAAGGAAGGGAGGAAGGAAGGGAGGGAGGGAGGAAGGGAAGGAAGGAAGGAAAGAAAGAGGGCAGGAGGGAAGGAAGGAAGGAAAGAAGGGGGGAGGGAAGGAGGGAGGGAAGGAAGGAAGGAAGGAAGGAAAAAGAAGAGAGGAGGGGAAGGAAGGATAAGTCTGATGACATTAGCTGCTATTATATTCTATGTGGATAATTTATTTAGATCTTTATCTTTTGTTTTACTTCTCTTATGCATATTCTCCTCAAGCTTTATTCAGCGGGCCAGAGAAGGCGGACTGCCTCTTGAGACTGTGGAAGGACTTCTATCAGGCTAACCTGCCTGGCCTCTCACTCTCCCGGTTCTCACACTGAAAAGCAGAGTGTTATTTGATTCATGTTCTTAGTCTGTGGTTGTCAGTTGAGGAGAACTTGTTAGAGATTTGCCCTCTTTCCATCTTTTTTGGACCTTACTGGTGCAAGACAGCAAATCCTAGCTGGTGTCTACAGGACACATGCTCTCCTGGGTTACATAACTGCAGGGACCACTGTCATTGTATCCTGGAGCTGGTTCTATATAAGACACAGCCTAAGTAGTATACAGGCTTCCTAGTCTGCTCTGGGCCAAATGTCCCAGTCGGAAGCCCAAAGGTTGTCTGGCTATGCCAGTGGCAGGATGGGCAAGTCTAACTTAAGGGTGAGATATTAGCAAGACCACTGTGGTCATGCATCTAAGATGCTCTGTCCAAGCCTGAACTTAGCAACAATAAACTTGACATTTTGAAATCCATCGATTCCTCTCTTTTCCAGTTGATACCACATGCATCTTGTTGCCATCTTTCTTAATTAAGATGACTTTGCTTCTAAATCTCCTTAATTATCAAACTGCTATGTATAATATTTTGTAATCCACTTAAATCTTGAGTACAATGATGTCATAATTATGAAAGTGACCGGATTCACATGAAGTATCACTTAATCTTAAGAACAAAATGGCAGCTGTGAAAACAGATGAAGTAATTAGAGGAAGAGCCTTTTTGGAAGCTTTGAGATATTTTCAAAGTAATTAGTACTAGTTAGCAATAAAGCTCTGTTCTCAGAAATTGCTCTTAAAGGAGGAACATGGATTAAAGAAAAAAAACCTGCTACTAGGAAGGAAGCCACTAGACTTCCTAAAAACTGGTTCTGTTTTCAACAAAATTTGGGTCTGTTGAAAAAGAACACTTCAGGCTGGGCACGGTGGCTCAAGCCTGTAATCCCAGCACTTTGGGAGGCCGAGATGGGCGGATCACGAGGTCAGGAGATCGAGACCATCCTGGCTAACACGGTGAAACCCCGTCTCTACTAAAAAAAATACAAAAAACGCCGGGCGCGGTGGCTCACGCCTGTAATCCCAGCACTTTGGGAGGCCGAGGCGGGCGGATCACGAGGTCAGGAGATCGAGATCACAGTGAAACCCCGTCTCTACTAAAAATACAAAAAACTAGCCGGGCGCGTTGGCGGGCGCCTGTAGTCCTAGCTACTCGGGAGGCTGAGCCAGGAGAATGGGGGGAACCTGGGAGGCGGAGCTTGCAGTTAGCCGAGATCGCGCCACTGCACGCCAGCCTGGGCCACATAACTAGACTCCATCTCAAAAAAAACAAAACAAAACAAAACAAAAACTAGCTGGGCGCGGTGGTGGGCGCCTGTAGTCCCAGCTACTCGGGAGGCTGAGGCAGGAGAATGGCGTAAGCCCGGGAGGCGGAGCTAGCAGTGAGCTGAGATCCGGCCACTGCACTCCAGCCTGGGCGACAGAGCCAGACTCCGTCTCAAAAAAAAAAAAAAAAAAAAAAAAAAAAAAAAAAAACATAGATCCAGCCTTGACGTCAAACGGACCCAAACTTGGACAATAGTAAACTAATGAGCAACGGTGCACAGAGTCAGGGTAGAGCTGGACAGTTTCCTATGACCAACTTTTCCAGGACTCTGCTCTGCTCCTCCTGAGAAAAATATCCAAAGTGCTGCCTCTTCCATTGGCCAACCATGCATCTTTCAGGATAGGACACATCTGTTTATAGGTGTGGATTGTAGTTGCTCAGAAGTGACATTAGGCTATTAAAAATAATAATAGTTTGAGTCTTGCTATGAGCTGATCTGTTTTCCAACAGAGCTAAGAGGTTTCCAGCTAAAAGAGGGCATTAATGGGTAATCAACGCAGCTGACATGGGGTGTGGCTGGGCCTTGAATGTGGGTCACTCTCTGTGCCCAAGCAGAGCAAAGATAAACTCCAGACTGCATGTTGCTCAGAGACCAGGACCAACTTCGCAGGGCCCCTAAAAGGTAGGTGGCCAAGTTCAGAATTGTCAAGGTCTGACCTGCTTAGACAAGTACTGAATACATAGTAAGTAAGGATTGGCTAGTCTCTCTAAACTTGCAAACAGGGCCCAGGGTGATCTTGAGATTTCAGTTGCTGGAGAGACCCATCACGTAGATTCCAGAGTTGGCTATGGTGACTAACAGCTGTCTAAGTTGTTTTTAAATGAATCATTAAGGGCTACATTTTCAGTTCAGCTAATCAAGTAGCAAATTGCAGTGGGCCTAAAATACTCATCTATTGCATTATGTATATGCTAGGCTTTATCACTTTAGTGGGTTATATCGCTTCATATACTGATAGTCAAAAAATGCCAAAAGAACAAACAAACAGAACAAAAATGCCACATGACTGTGTAAGTACACTTTCCAAACTGTTCTAAGCATTTACTCACTTTCACGTTGTGGTTTCTAGTATTTCCAATCTAAGAGACTTATTTTGCCTACATAGGAAACTACATATTTTAAATTGAAAATTAAAAAAATATTTTTAAGGTTTTAGTGAGTCCTATCAAAACACATTTGTATAAAGGAAGGTAGCCCAAGGTCACTGTTCCCAATTGTGTACACAGCCTGCCCTCTAGTGTTTTCTTCTAAACAGTATCAAATTTTAGATCATAGTTTTAATCTCAAAATGTTGGGTTAATAGGATTAAATACTGTGTCATCAAATTGATAGTACACAGGTAAATCCCTGACACAGATGAAAATTAAAGCAGAGAAAAACAAAGGTCCTTCCAGAAGCTGGTGGCAACTTCACTGGGGAGATATTGCAAAGTTAGTGGTAAATATACTATATTAAAAAGTTTTGTTTTGTAAACAGAGTAATGATAAGAAGAAGAGTTAGTTGAAATGATGTATGTAAAATGTGATAACTATATAATTACTAGTACAGTTGCTAGTTTATGATTGTATTAAAAAGATATTCCAAATGTTGATCAAATAATGGAGGTTTCTGTGGTTGTTTTCTTTTTAAAATAGTAAATATATGTAAAGCAGATAAATATCCCCTTTGTGGGAGTTAAAATAATCTAGCTTATTTTATAGTTTTAACTTTATTAAAGCATATGGCTATTCTAACTTATTTAACTTTTCTTAGTAAAGTTTTAACCTCTGTATTTGGAATATGTGTAAGTAATGTATATCAAATTAAACTCAAAGGGAAATTCATTAACTGAGAAGAGAAAATTTTAACTGTGCACTATTCACACCACATAATGGGTTTTATAAGGAGTATGAGAAAAATGTGTGCGGTTGGTTTTGCTTTTTTTAAAAAAAAACATAGCGAACCACCTGGGTAAAAACTCACTTGAGAACATAGAATTTTGGAGGGAGATGCCTGGTGCGGTGGCTCACGCCTGTAATCCCAGCACTTTGGGAGACCGAGGTGGGCAGATAACCTGAGGTCAGGAGTTCGAGACCAGCTTGACCCACACGGAGAAACTCCATCCCTACTAAAAATACAAAATTAGCCAGACTTGGTGGCACATGCCTATAATCCCAGCTACTTGGGAAGGCTGAGGCAGGAGGATGGCTTGAACCTGGGAGGTGGAGGTTGTGGTGAGCTGAGGTCGTGCCATTGCACTCCAGCCTAGGCAACAAGAGCAAAACTCTGTCTCAAACAACAACAACAAAAAAAAATTATAATAATTTGGAGGGGAAAAAAAAAATCAATCTAACAGATTCGAATCAATTCTGTGTTTCCAGATGTTTACTGTTGACAAGAAAATAAAATGAAGCTTGGACTCTGAGAGGATGTGATCTATCTTCTCCATTGCATTGAGTTTCAAGTACTTCACATGGCGGCCTTATTTAACTGTCATGAAGAATTTAAACCAAACAGGGACTCGAATTTGTTTGTTTTTTTAACTTACATTTCAAGCTTCCTTATGTCTCCGGCACATTAGCATAAGTTGTCTAAAGTCATAAAGAAAAATCGACAGAAAAATGCTTTGGAGCCCCAGGTGTTTTCAATTGATGCCAACAGAAAGTAACCTAATGGAAAGCATTTGATGCGAGTTTATTTTTCCTTTGCAGTAACAGCGGGAACATGAAGCCGCCACTCTTGGTGTTTACTGTGTATCTGCTATGGTTGAAAGATTGTCACTGTGCACCCACTTGGAAGGACAAAACTGCTATCAGTGAAAACCTGAAGAGTATGTTTGGTTTCTTGTCTGTGCTGTGTCCTGTTTGCCTGCTGGCATTTATAGTGAGTCGCAGTTGAGAGATAACCATGTTCGCTGTTTTCACGGTGAAACGTTCTCAAGGCACTTAAACCGAGTCATCCTGACGCCAAACATCTGGATAAAAATAGAAAATTCCAATCACGTCCCTGCAGGCGTTCACATTTCCAGATGTTTGTATCATGTAGATAAAACCTGCCAATTTTTTCACTGCATTTTTTTGTATCATCCAGATGGTTGGTGTCATCTCAGCACAGCTCTAATGAACAGTGAAATACTTTTCAAGCATTTGAAAAATTTAAACCATTAGAGTAATCTGTGCAATTATTCTTAAACTAGTGAAAGAACGGGTTATAATTACATTGAATCTGGTTGTTCTGTGGCCATTAACTTGCAGCCTTTGCTTGGTGATATATGCTTTGGGTACTTAATATTTAAAAGAACAAATTAGCTAAAATGTAGCTGATGTAGGGTCTGTAATTAAAATCAGAGTCAAAAATAAGCTCCTTAGTAGGCCACATTAGCTATTTTGAACAGGGAATGACAATGAATTTTAAATTTATTAAAGGTGTATAAGACACATCCATTAGGTTATTAAGGAAGCTTGTATTACATGGGATACTTTCTAGGTTTCATGCCTCCTTATTAGGTGACTGAAGCTGAAAGAAAGAGAAATTGGTGACTCTGTTTGAGGTCCCCAGTTGGGCGCTTACTATAAATTGTGAAGAAAATGCAAAATTTTATCTAATATAAACACACTTGAGTCTTAAATGAAAGAAAAAAAATGGATAAATGAAAACAGGGCCTGAGCAAACTGACAAGAATGAGGTTCAGTGAACTCTGTTTGTTTAGGAGCTTACAAGAGAGGAACAGAAGGTATGGTCCATGTGGCAGCTGACAGCTAATTCATTATGATCTGCTTTCAGAATATGAGCCTATAAAAGAACAGTGAAGCCTATCTTTAGGAGACATGAAAGACTGGTGAACTCGGTGTTTTGTAATCTGATCAGATCTCAAAGAAAAAATTGCCACGTGTCTTTTAGGTTTTTCTGAGGTGGGGGAGATAGACACAGATGAAGAGGTGAAGAAGGCTTTGATTGGTATTAAGCAAATGAAAATCATGATGGAAAGAAAAGAGAAGGAACACACCAATCTAATGAGCACCCTGATGAAATGCAGAGAAGAAAAGCAGGTACAGTCATTGAAAATAATATCTGTTCTTACACAGATCTGGACCGGAAATATTACACTTGTTAGTGCTCTTGATGAATTACTTGCTTTCCTTAATAACACATTTTATGGGTAGCTGCTTTTATTAGAGGAAAAGTTTGAGGGAAGCTTCAGACTTCCTTGAAGAACATATTTCGTGTAGGATAGGCTTCTGCAAGACTCCAAACCGGAGTCTGGGGGAGTCATCTCTGTTTAAGCGCTGCTTTCTCAAAAATGGATTATTCTTGGTCTCTTCTGAGTTAGGATATTGAGTCAAAAGTATTTGAAGAGTGTTTTTTACTAGATCAGTGGTCTCCAGAATTGTTTTTTTGTTCTGTTTTGTTTTTGTTTTTGAGACAAAGACTCGCTGAGGCTGGAGTTGATCCCAGCTCACTGCAACCTTGGCCGCTTGGGTTCAGGCGATTCTCCTGTCTCAGCCTCCCTCGTAGCTAGGATTACAGGCTCCTGCCACCACGCCTGGCTAATTTTTGTGTTTTTAGAAGAGATGGGGTTTCACCATGCTGGCCAGACTGGTTCTGAACTCCAGGACTCAAGCGATCCACCCGCCTCAGCCTCCCAAAGTGCTGGAATTACAGGCATGGGCCACCGTGTCTGGCCCAGGGTTTTTTTGGTCTCTCATTCCTATGACTAAAAAATGTGTTAGCACTCACTCCTAAATATATGCATATTAACTTACTTATAAATTAGATATGTAAATTGCTACCATTAATATCTCAAGACCCAATATGTATGTAAGGTGAGATTCACCATTAGCGAGTGTGGATGTAAGTCCACATTTCAAATAATCTTCTAAATATTTTGAAACTTTTAGTTGACTTGCCAGATCTGATTAGATCACCATAGTTTTCCTTTGTCACATGGCCAATAAAGAGCTCATAATGATCAAGTGTCAGCTCTGCCATGTTGCTTTTGGTCCACTTGAGCTTAAATTATTCATTTTTTAAAATCTGCCAAGTTTTTTTTTTTTCCAAGAATCTTGTTAACCCTGCTGTGCATTTAGTGAAGGTTAGTTTAGTTAAAACTAGATAATAAAATCCATCAGTCTACCTGAGTTCTCTTACATGGCAACTCATTACAATTGGCTGCATGTGCACAGAGCAAGGGAACTATAGTCGATTCTTCTGGAATGTAGAGGATCCCCTCTTTCCCAAGGTCATCACATACAGTTGGGCACATACGATATCTAACATATGCATCTCAAGAGAGTACCATGTATATCCAATAATGCATCAGCCTAATTCACTTTTTCAAATTCAAATAGCTTTATTTAATAGCTATAGCTTGAACTACATATTTTATCAATGGAGAACACATATTCAAACGTCTTTGGAAGATGTAAAAAATTGTTCCTATGCTACAGTATAAAGTTCAGTAAATTTCTAAACTATAAACATTGAATAACTTGCAGTTTAATGACATTAATAATTAACATCACACTCAAAACAATGATTTTTTTTTAAAAAGGTTATCTTCAAACATTACCCTTAAATCAAAGAGGAAATTAAAACTGTAACAAAAATAATTTGGAAAATGTTTTCAATTTTAATATTGAGAGTAAATTACTTTTTTTTTTTTTTTTGGCAGGGGGGACAGAGTCTTGCTCTGTTGCCCAGGCTGGAATGCAGTGGCGCAATCTTGGCTCACTGCAAGCTCCGCCTCCTGGGTTCACACCATTCTCCTGCCTCAGCCTCCCAGTAGCTGGGACCACAGGCGCCCGCCACCGCGCCCGGCTAATTTTTTGTATTTTTAGTAGAGACGGGGTTTCACCGTGTTAGCCAGGGTGGTCTCGATCTCCTGACCTCATGATCCGCCCGCCTCGGCCTCCCAAAGTGCTGGGAGTACAGGCGTGAGCCACTGCGCCCAGCCAAGAGTAAATTACTTTTTAAATTTATTTTTATTTTTTGAAAAATGTTAAGTTGTAAAATACGTATAACAAAATTTACCATAATAACCATTTTTAAGTGTACCATTCAGTAGTGTGAAATACATTCATACTGTCATGCGACCAATCTCCAGAAATCTTTTCATCTTGCAAAAACTGAAAGTCTATACATATTAAACAATGCCCCATTCCCCCCACCCCAGTCAGATTTTTAATTTAAAAATACAAGTGGAAGTTCTAATATTTTCTAACTATCCCTCTATCTATAAAGTTGCGGGCCACTGAATTTCAGATTGCTGCTTGCATCTTTTTACTTCTGAGCATCATGGCCTCTGGGAGTCCATTAAGCAACTGGAGCCGGGTAGTGTGACAGGCTGACCCCAAAGCAGTGTGTCAGCCTGTCACCGGACTGGTTGATGTTGCAGCCCCACCTACTGCCCTGAGTCAGTCAGGGTTCTGGCAAGGAAAGGAGAGTGCGGGACCAGCAGCTGCAAACACTTCTCCCTCTTGGCAGCAATCAAAAGATTTTGAGGAAATCTAAAATAACTCCTCATCAGGAAAATGTGGAAGCCCCTCCAGCTGGGATCTTCCCTGGTGGGCTTGTGAGCCTGGCCATCTGGGAATAGAGACACTAGATAGCAGTAATACACTCTTCACCAAACACATTATCACATGGAATGCTTTAAACATCTGGGTAAAGCACTACTTTCATTTTATAGCTAAGAAAACTGGGGTTTGAGATGTTTGTTAATTAACATGTTACTCCAACACTGTAATGAATGAACTGAGATAAAGTCAGCAGATGTGTGCATGGGGGACCCAGTGACTTCCTGCTTTTCTCACTTCCCTGAACTTCCTGGCAAGGAGGATAGGGTATACAGCTATAACAAGAATATTCCACTTTGGGTGAGTCAAGTAAGCAAATGTGGATTTCACTTCTGGCCCAGAAGAATCCAAGCAACTAGCAGAATTTTTATTTATTCTTAAAAACCTTATTGTACAAAAATTCATTGAATTATACTCTTGAGTTTGAGGCACTCAATTAGAAAGTTAATTGGAAAAAAAAAAAAATCTGTTTAACCCTGAATATCCCTCCCTAAAATTACTTAAAGCCTAGAATAAAGGTCAGTTTAGACAAATTATGAATTGGCAAATATGGTGTTAGCAACCCTCGTCTCTCAGTATTGAGCCCCACCCATTCTCAAGGGGACTGTTCAGTGGTGACCCACATCATCTCTGCCCCCTTCCGCCACCCTTCCTTATTAATATTTAGTGAGACTACCTGAAACTTCTTAAGTAGGAAACCCTAGAGAAGGTTCGAGTGATTTGACCCCCAAACCAGGTTTTATTTGTTTTTACTTTTAATGAAATGGGGTCTTGCTATGTTGCTTAGGCTGGTCTTGAACTCCTGGGCTCAAGGGATCCTCCTGCCTCACTCCCAAGCAGCTGGGATCACATGCACGGGCCGCCACATCTGGCTCAACACCAGGTTTATATAGTACTTTTGATAAACTGTCAACTATAGGAATAGAGTTACAAGCATGAATCTGCCCGTTGGTACAATGTCTAGCAGGAAACGGAGGGCATCGATAGGACATTTCCTCTAGGAATGTTTACCAGACAGAGGTCTACTTCTTCCATGGCAATGTTTCACTTCCAAAACTTGGGACCTGTGATTTGGTAACTGTGTTTTTGTTCTGCTTCTGAGCAGTGAATGGAAGGAAGCCTGAGAGATACTAGTTATTATACTAGACTAGTTATAGTAATAGATGCCTTGTCTATGATAATGGATACTAGTTATAATAATAAATGCCTTGCTTGTTTAGCTCATTCAATTCAAAGACCTTGAGAAGTAGATACTATTATTCCTATTATTCTTATTTGCAAATGAGGAGACTAAGGCTTATACATATTAAGTAATTTGCCCAAGGGTACACAGTCACTGTAGTTTGGAATTGGGAATATTAGGATTTTGGCTTAAGAGGACAATGAGCAGAATATGTAAAATTGGGACTGATTGAGAAAATTCTGGAGGTATTGTTACTTGCCTTGGAGAAACAACCTTTTTTTTTTTTTTTGAGACAGTGTCTTACTCTTGTTGCCCAGGCTGAAGTGCAATGGTGTGATCTTGCCTCACTGCAAATTCTGCCTCCCGGGTTCAAACGATTCTCCTGTTTCAGCCTCCCAAGTAGCTGGGATTACAGGCACCCACCATCATGACCAGCTAATTTTTGTATTTGTAGTAGAGACAGGGTTTCACCATGTTGGTCAGGCTGGTCTCAAACTCCTGACATCAGGTGATCCACCCACCTCGGCCTCCCTCAGCCGGGTGCAGTGGCTCATGCCTGTAATCCCAGCACTTTGGGAGGCCAAGGTGGGCAGATCACTTGAGGCCAGGAGTTCGAGATCAGCCTGGGCAACATGGTGAAACCCCATCTTTACTAAAAATACAAAAATTCGCCAGGCATGGTGGCACGCACCTGTAGTCCCAGGTCCTCGGGAGGCTGAGGCAGGAGAATCACTTGAATCTGGGAGATGGAAGTTGCAGTGAGCTGAGATTGCACCACTGCACTCCAGCCTGGGTGACACAGCCAGACTCTGTCTCAAAAAAAAAAAAAAAAAAAAAAAAAAGATATAAGATTCCAAAATTGTTCTGCCAAGTCCAAGGACACACACACACACTCCTCTCCGGGTCAAGCTGGGGCCCTGGTAGTTCTCTTATATGGATCATAGCAAACGCTACCTGGCTTAGCAGCTGAACTTTACAGTGAGAGCAACTGACAAATCCTAGCCAGGCAGAGAAGATGTGGAAGACTGTCAGTGCCCAGGTGATTCTTTGGGCTTAATACTCCAGGAAAGGGTCATTTCCATTAGCTCTGAGGTTGTCTTCTTATGGCCAGATCCACTATACTCACTTAATTCCCCTGCACAATATCTTGGCATGTAGGCGGCTGGGGTTCAGAAGTCCAAACTTGCAGGGAAGCCAGAGGTTTAGGCAGGGGCACAGGAAGAAGGGTCTGTTGCACCATAGTGCTGACCCGTGAGGCACTCCAGGGGCAGGGCTGAGGCTGGCAGGGACAGGTGCCACTGCTGCTGGGCTCCTCACCACCCAGAGCAGGACTTGGCCAAGTACAGCAAGCACCACAAGGGGGAGCGCTGGGAATATAAACAAGAAGAACAAAGGCTTGTTTATATTCGCATTTATATTTATTTAATATTACATTATATATAAATATAATATACTTATTATATTACATTCTAATTGCAGAGATGCAGAATGGCATAATAACTCAATGGGAACATTTAATTTGACATACAAGAATGCACTTTCTTGCAATGTTTAAGCATATACAACAATTAAAGACAGCATAAATGAAAGAAATAAAATGTGCCAGCTTTATAAAGTGTAAAGCCCACTTTCCCCATGCCCCAGTGGACGAGAATTGAAGACAGACTTCCCAGTAAATAGGTAAATCACAATTGTTCCCAGATCGGGATGGCATCTTCATTGTCAGGTCACCCACACCTAGAGTAATGTTTGTCACATAGCAAACACTCAGTAAATACTTAATGAACAAATGAATGAACAGATGAATGAGATTTACAGTCTTCAGTAGGGATCAATCAGCACTCTCTTCTTAAACTAAACAGAAGGCTTTGGGGGAGATCTGGCAGCTGCGAGGCACCTGAAGGAGAAAGAATGAAAAGCAGGTTAGAATGTGCACATTTCAAAGGGTGAAATCAACTAAGGTGCACATAGATCATGAAATGGAAATTGGACTTTTGTTTCTACTTTTAATTAGGAGGCCCTGAAACTTCTGAATGAAGTTCAAGAACATCTGGAGGCAGAAGAAAGGCTATGCCAGGTGTCTTTGGCAGATTCCTGGGATGAATGCAGGTCTTGCCTGGAAAATAACTGCATGAGAATTTATACAACCTGCCAACCTAGTTGGTCCTCTGTGAAAAATAAGGTAAAAGAAAAAGAGAGCTCAAGATTTCACAGTTTTGTTGTTGTTGTTGTTTGAGACGGTGTCTCGCTCTGTAGCCCAGGCTGGAGTGCAGTGGCCGGATCTCAACTCACTGCAAGCTCCGCCTCCCGGGTTTACACCATTCTCCTGCCTCAACCTCCCGAATAGCTGGGACTACAGGCGCCGCCACCTTGCCCGGCTAGTTTTTTGTATTTTTTGAGTAGAGACGGGGTTTCACCGTGTTAGCCAGCATGGTCTCGATTTCCTGACCTCGTGATGTGCCCGTCTCGGCCTCCCAAAGTGCTGGGATTACAGGCTTGAGCCACTGCACCCGGCCTGATTTCACAGTTCTTAAGGCACGTATTTCAGCTTACTTTTTTTTTTTTTTTTTGACACGGAGTCTGGCTCTGTTGCCCAGGCTGGAGTGCAGTGGCCGGATCTCAGCTCACTGCAAGCCCCGCCTCCCGAGTTCACGCCATTCTCCTGCCTCAGCCTCCCGAGTAGCTGGGACTACAGGCGCCCACCACCTCGCCCGGCTAATTTTTTTTGTATTTTAGTAGAGACGGGGTTTCACGGTGTTAGCCAGGATGGTCTCGATCTCCTGACCTCGTGATCCGCCCGTCTCGGCCTCCCAAAGTGCTGGGATTATAGGCTTGAGCCACCGTGCCCGGCCTCAGCTTACTTTTTTATTACTTTATGTTAATGTTTAGAACGGAGATGCCTGATCTGATAGAGGCCTTTTGCTTTCCAGAATCTAATACTAATGCTTACATCCTATCACCTGTGTCTACGTGATTTATAAGGTAGAGCATCCAGTCAGTGGACACTGAATGCATCTCTTAAAATATCCTGGCTTTCTGCCTTGTTTTGTTCTTTGTGAACATGTTCCTACTAGATAGTAAGCTCTTTGAGCGCAGGGATCATATCTTATTTGTCTTCATTTGCTCATTGGTGGCATCCAGTAAATGTTTACCAAATCGCATTTGGAATCATAGCATTGCAGTCTCTGATTTCAATCCACATTAATTTTTCCTTCTGGAGGCCAAATATTTAAAGATATTCTCTGCCTCCCAAATGTCACCTTCAACATGCTTGCCCCTTATGCATAACACACACACACACCCTTTCATGTCCCCTTTCGCCCGACCCATGTATGTTCTGTAGGACTGGCATGTTTTCTTCTTTGTCCCCTTTGGTTATCTTCTCAGCAGAGGGATCACAGAGGGTGGTGACCTGAATAGGATGAGCTCTGCCCCACTAACGGCTCCAATTAGGCTAGATTTTCCTCCCCCTTCAAGAAATGAGCTGAATACAAAATTGAGTGGAATTTCACGCTCCATATTAGAGCACATACTAATTAGAATATGTTCCTGGCTTGGCAATGCCATACTCAATTACAAAGGGAGCAACTACTAAGATAATGAATGCGCCAAGTTAATTTGCCTCCACTATTAATTGCATCTGCTCTATTTTTAGAGCCACTGTCACCTGCTAATACACCAGAATATGGCGTAATGAGCAGCAGCAGGAAGTCAGGAGATTTGGGGACCATTCCCATCTGGGTCAGTTGTGTGATCTTACGAAAATTTCTTGGGGCTTTAAAGGTTTGTTTTGTGGATGAAGAGTCAAGTAAACAGAAGCTGGTAGAGGGAGAGGCAGACAACCCACCCAAATTCTTTTCTTTATATTTTTCATGATATGGGGTGTGGCTCTTTTGCCCTGGCTAGAGGTAGTGGTGCCATCTTGGTTCACAGCAGCCTCCACCTCCTGGGTTCAAGTGATTCTCCTGCCTCAGCCTCCTAAGTAGCTGGGATTACAGGCACCTGCCACCACACCCAGCTAATTTTTGTATTTTTAGTAGAGACAGGGTTTTACCATGTTGGCCAGGCTGGTGACCTCAGGTGATCCATACGCCTTGGCCTCCCAAAGTGAAAACTTGACCTTTTTAGGTTATTGGTGGGCAAATGTAAACCAGGAGGAATTTCAGATCCTGTTTCCATAGGCAAAGGCAAAGTCAGGTATAAGAGGATTAAGAAATTATCTTAAAGTTCATTGCCTCATCCTAGCTTGCCAAGAATTATTCTTGATTTGAAATGACTACTGTAAGTTGACTTTAAAATTTGCAATAAGAAATGGTCCAGGGCTGGGTGCAGTGGTTCACTCCTGTTATCCTAGCACTTTGGGAGGCCAAGGCATGTGGATCACCTGAGCTCAGGAGTTTGAGACCAACCTGGGCAACACGGTAAAACCCTGCATCTACTAAAATACAAAAAAAAAAAAAAAAAAAAATTAGCCAGGCATGGCGGCGTGTGACTGTAATCCCAGCTACTCGGGAGGCTGAGACAGAAGAATTGCTTGAACCAAGGAGGCGGAGGTTGCAGTGACCTGGGATGGTGCCATTGCACTCCAGCCTGAGCGACAGAGCAAGACTCCATCTCAAATAAAAAAGAAAGAAAAGAGAGAGAGAAAGGAAGAAAGAAAGAGAAAGAAAGAGAGAAAGGAAAAGAAAGAACAAAACAAAGAAAGAAAGAAAAAGAAAGAAGAAAGAGAGAGAGAGAGAAAGAAAGGAAGAAGGAGAAAGAAAGAAAGAAAGAGAAAGAAAGAAAGAAAGGAAGGGTCCAGAAAGAAAGTAATTTTTTATTCCATTTCTGTCCCCTACTCTACTCCACAGATTGAACAGTTTTTCCAGAAGATATATCAATTTCTATTTCCTTTCCATGAAGATAATGAAAAAGATCTCCCCATCAGTGAAAAGCTCATTGAGGAAGATGCACAATTGACCCAAATAGAAGATGTGTTCAGCCAGTTGACTGTGGATGTGAATTCTCTCTTCGATAGGAGTTTTAACGTCTTCAGACAGATGCAGCAAGAATTTGACCAGACTTTTCAATCACATTTCATATCAGATACAGACCTAACTGAGCATTACTTTTTTCCAGCTTTCTCTAAAGAGCCAATGACCAAAGCAGATCTTGAGCAACATTGGGACATTCCCAACTTCTTCCAGCTGTTTTGTAATTTCAGTGTCTCTATTTATGAAAGTGTCAGTGAAACAATTACGAAGACACTGAAGGCAATAGAAGATTTACCAAAACAAGACAAAGGCAAGTATTAAAAGATAACTTTTACTTAGAGGTCTATACTAAAGTCAAGTTTTGTTTAGCTTCAGAAATGGTAGACATTTCTGAGTCACATTGTATGGTGCTTCTTGAAGTGATAATTTATGGAAAATGTTTCAGAGCCTCTTAAAAGAAGCTTTGAAGTCTGCTAAACACCATCCCTCTTCCATCATTGTTGAGAACTGAACTCTTTCTAGAGCAAATTTTCAAAGCAGAAAGAAAAAATGCTAATAGGTTGAGAACTTAAAAAAAAAAAAAAGGTTCCCTCATTTATTATTTGTTTATTTATTTCATTTTGTGACAGAGTCTTGCTCTGTCTCCCAGCCTGGAGTACAGTGGTGCGATCTTGGCTCACTGCAACCTCTGATCCCAGGTTCAAGCAATTCTCCTGCCTCAGCCTCCCGAGTAGCTGGGACTACAGGTGTGCACAACCATGCCCGGCTAATATTTTTGTATTTTTAATAGAGACAGGGGTTTCACTATCTTGGCCCGGCTGGTCTCAAACTCCTGACCTCAGGTGATCTACCCACATTGTCCTCCCAAAGTGCTGGGATTGCAGATGTGAGCCACCATGCCTGGCCATTTCTCTCATTTATTAAAGCTCATGTAGATGCTCAGCTCTATTCTGCTAAAGCATCAGAGAGTTTCTGTAAAATTGATCTGAAATCCTCAACTCCCAGTTTGAGAAAAAGCCCACTCTGACACATAACCAGAGCAATTTAGTGCCCTCCTCTGAATCACTACAATCATTCCTTAAATCATAAAGCGTATGCATAAAACCACAGAAAATGCTCACAAACCCCACACTACAGAAATATTAGATAAGAATTGCCTTCTACCAATAGTAATCATGCCTCATGACGCTCCATGTTGGAGACACAATGCTGCTTTATGTTTCCAGGCAGGAGATATCTTCTGTGGGCTTCTATGGAGTAAATTAGATCCAGCATTTGAGAAATGAGAGTTGCCACGAGGGTCAAGTGTAGGATCTGCATTTCCTTTGTTATTGTATTGACCACTAAGCCAGGTTGAAGGCTGCTCTCCTTTGAGATGAAAAATAAAATGGGCTCTTTCTATCCATTTTTCTCTTTCTTTTTCTTTTTTTGAGATGGAGTGTTGCTCTGTTGTCCAGGCTGGAGTGTACTGGTGCGATCTCAGCTCACTGCAACCTCTGCCTCCTGGGTTCAATCAATTCTCCTGTCTCAGCCTCCCGAGTAGCTGGGATTACAGGTGCCCGCCACCACACCTGACTAATTTTTGTATTTTTAGTAGAGACAGGGTTTCACCATGTTGGCCAGGCTGGTCTCAAACTCCTGACCTCAGGTGATCTGCCCGCCTTAGCCTCCCAAAGTGCTGGAATTACAGGCGTGAGCCACCACACCCAGCCAGCTACCACACCCAGCCAGCCACCACGCCTGACCCTATCTGACTATTTTTCAATTATATTAGCTGTAGCTGGCAACAACTGAATCAGATTCTCAGAATCGCCATGAGATTACATAACTGGCCTCTGCATAGGAGAGGTTTACTTTTCAGAAACTGAAGCTAGGAAACAATGCATTACATCCTTCAGGTCCCATCGTTCCATGAACAGAGAACAGGCATCATTACTGGAATTGTTGGGTTCTATTTCAGAGTCCAGTGGACTTTTTTTATAAGTCAAGTATTTCGTCTGGTATTCCATTCTGAGGTTCCAAATTCATCAAATATTCAGGATAAACACCAGGCAAGTAGACTAAATCTATCCAGGCTGGGTGGTATCAAGTGATTTTAGCCTGACTGTTTAAATGGATATCAACTGTCTTGGAATAACACTGAGAATGTGTTCATTAGAACAAAAGGATTCCTCCCCTCCATGTTGTGTAGTGGCCTTACACAAGCTTTGCTTATATTTCCATGTGCACAGGACTGTCCGCAGTGGTTCAGACATGCCAGAGTCTAGATAATGTGCCAACCACTGTAACCCTCTTCCACACACCAGCTACGAACATGGGTTACCACTGTCTGCCACCATTGCCTTCTCATTCACACAGCTGGGGGCCAACCCTACTCTCAGCTGCCTCACACACCCCCTCCCCAGCCCCTCCGTGCCACTTCCATCTCAGTGATGACCTAAAAAGCCAAGGCCCCCTGTGAATGCAAATATTAAAGACAAAAACAAAATAGCAAACAAAAAAAGTCTATTTACTCTATTGTACTCTTCTTTCTCCAGTATCTCTCCTCTAGCCAGACAGTACACAGAAGCTTACCACAGAGGACACATTGTCTTCCCAGATGAGCAAATGTGACTGTTTATCAAGAATAGTCAGGCAGGGGCTCTACGGCACTTGAATGTGGTTTCCATCACTTTTCTGGACAGGTAGTTGGTGAGGAGTAAGCTTACTGCCCCTAGAAAATCTGCCTAATGACTTGACACTTTGAGTTTTGCCCCTTGTGGTAGGCAAAATAATGACTGCCCAAAATATCCCCACCCTAATCCCCAGAACCTGTGAATTTATGTTAGGTGGCAAAGGCAAAGTAAGGTTGCAGATGGAAAAAATAAATTTGTTAATCAACTGACTTTATTTTTATTTATTTATTTTTTGAGACAGAGTCTTGCTCTGTTGCCCAGGCTGGAGTGCAGTGGCGTGATCTTGGTTCACTGCAACCTCCACCTCCCGGGTTCACGCCCTTCTCCTGACTCAGTCTCCTGAGTAGCTGGGATTATAGGCACTCACCACCATGCCTGGCTAATTTTTGTATTTTGACTAGAGGCAGGGTTTCACCATGTTGTCCAGGCTGGTCTCGAACTTCTGACCTCAAATGATCTGCCCACCTCAGCCTCCCAAAGTGTTGGGATTACAGGCATGAGCCATCGTACCCGGCCTCAACTGATGGATTCAATGTAATCACAGGGTCCTTAAAAGTGGAAGAAGGAGGCAGAAAAGAATTAATTGCAGTGGCCGCAAGAGAAGGACTTGGCTCTACTTTGATGGCCTTGAAGGCAGAGGACAGGGGCCATGAGCCGAGGAATGTAGGTGGCCTTGAGGAACTGGAAATGGTATAGAAATGAATTCTCCTCTAGAGCCTCCCAAAAAACTAGCCCTACTGACATCTTATTTTTTATATTTTTTATTTTTTTGAGACAGAGTCTCAGTCACCTGAGTAGCTGGGACTACAGGTGCGTGGCACCACACCCAGCTAATTTTTGCTTTTTTTTTTTTTTGAAACAGATGACATCTTGATTTTAGCCCAGTGAGACCCACTTCAGACTTCTGACCTAAAAGACCAAACAATAATGAATTTGTGCTGTTTCAAGCCACTGAATCTGTGGAAGCTGTAACAGAGCTAATAATAATAGTAACTGACCAACATTTACTGAGCAAGTTCTGTGTGGCAACCTTCATGGATGGGCCTTATTGGTCATGATTGTTTAAAGGGCCAAAATCAGAAAAATAGCCAAAACTGAATTATGAACACCAGGAAAAGGAGAGTGAAAATAAAAAGAATCAGAAATATCTTGATAATCAATGTTATTTTTGTTTTTTTTGAGTATAGGCTCATTTTGGTCTCAAATTTCTTTCCTACCTTGGTCTTTCTGGACCTCAGGTCCTGAATCTGTTGAAAGTGAATAGTGAATAGGTCCAGCTCTTGGAGTTGTCTTCACTTGTCTTATGAATCCCTGGAAAGAACAGATGAGATCATGTTCTACTCTAGCTTGACCAGTGCAGGGGACCAGCAGACCTGTTTCTAATCCTTAAGAGAGAATTAGTGGACATTAATTTTCACATGGGAAAAACAGACAGGCAGGTGGGAGAGTAGATGATTTATCTCAGGCACTGCACTGGAAGTAGCTCCCTGGAAGGGTTCTGAGGTTCTGTCAAGGCTAGACTAAGTGAGGTGATAGATCGTGCTCTGGGTGCAGGATGGGGAATTAGTGTCATATGGGCCTAGAATTTGTCATCCTTGGTGTACGTACCAGGTATTAATCTAGATGCTAGAGATAAAATGATGATTATGACACAGCTTCTGACTTCCAGGAGCTCAGTCCAGAGAAAGGAAAACAGATTAGTGAACAATTACATCACCATATCGTGGGTAAAATGGCAGAAGAAGGCACAGAAGAATGACAAGATTAAAATGGCAAGACCAAGTCCCTTCCCTCAAGAGGCTTAGAGTCTAATGGGAAAGATAAGAAAGCAAACACTGCATAAAGCGGGAATCAATTCTACAGTGGAAATTCTCACAGGGGGCTATGCAGGGCAAAGAAGAGGGTCCAGGAAAGCAGCTGGGAGAAACTGACTTTCTAGTCACCAAAGCGGATGCGTGCCTTCCATGCCATTCTATCGAACAACGCTTCGCTGTTTTTAAACTATGGACATTGCAATTTATGTCAAAATAAAATGTTTCATTTTTAAATGCTGAGGATTTAATCTAACAGAAGATCATCAGGTTGTAAATTAGTAATACATGTTTCTTAATGTCAAATACTCTATCGGGAACTGCCAGTTTTCTGTTGGATAGACTTCTCTTTTACATATTTTTATATGGATTAATTCTCTTAGGGGAAAAAACTTTTCAAAACATGATCTGCTTTAGGTATTTTCCTAAATCTTTGACCCACTGTTCATAACCGTATGTACATCTCCACACACACATACTCACACACATATGTGTGTGTGTATATATATATACATACACGACAAATGCAAAAATAGAATAGTAATAAAATAACCACTTATCACCCACTTTAAGAAACAGACATTTCTAATATCTTTGAAACTTTTTCCCAATTATAGCTTAAAAAATTATTAAAGCATTTTTTAAAATACAGAAAAATCCAAGAGAAAAAGTTGCTTACAGTCACCTATTTACTTAATCCTATTGACATCAGAAATACTAATGATATAAATAAGACATACGATTTTTAAAACATATAAAAGAACAAAATTAACGAAAGCTGCCCTCTCCTACCTTATCTAGTCCCTCTTCTAAAAGATAGTTGTTAATAATTCTTCATGACTCCTCCTAGAAAATAAAATTACATGCATTAATATATTTGTGTATATACTAATAATAAATGTCTAGTAATGAGATTCTTGGATTCAAGAGTATGTGCAATTTTTAATAGATGTTCAGTTGTCCTAGGAAATTATTGCACAGAAACGCAACATGCGTTTCTGTGTCTAAATATAGGAAAAAGGGCCCGGCACGGTGGCTCATGTCTGTAATCCCAGCACTCTGGAAGGCCGAGGCGGGTGGATCATTTGAGGTCAGGAGTTCAAGAAACCAGCCTGGACAACATGGTGCAACCCCATCTCTATTAAAAGTACAAAGATTAGCTGGTTGTGGTGGCTGTCACCTGTAATCCTAGCTACTTGGGAGGCTGAGGCAGGAGAATCACTTGAATCCGGGAGGCAGAGGTTGCAGTGAGCCAAGATCCCGCCACTGCACTTTAGCCTGGGCAACAGAGCAAAACTGTCTCAAAAATAAATAAATTAAATACATACATACATACATATATACATGAAAAAGATTTTGAAAGCACCGGTAAGAAAAAGCAGTGGCATTGTCTTCACTTCTTTACAGTGCAAACTCTTAGACACTAACGTGTAAATGTTATGTTCCCTGTAGCCCCTGACCACGGAGGCCTGATTTCAAAGATGTTACCTGGGCAGGACAGAGGACTGTGTGGGGAACTTGAGCAGAATTTGTCGAGGTGTTTCAAATTTCATGAGAAATGCCAAAAATGTCAGGCTCACCTATCTGAAGGTAAATAATTGCTATTTTTTAAAAATTATACTTTAAGTTCTGGGGCACATTTCGTTATAAAGTTTCAGTGCCACAAAAGAAATAGCACTCGAATATGAAATTTTCTTTTTAATTCTCAGCAAGGCAAGTTACTTCTGTAGACGGTTGCACCCTTACAGATGGAACAACGGTGAGCGCGCACTTCGACAAGGGAGGGGAAGGTGTTCTAGCCCCTGCTGCTGTGTCGTTCTCCTATTGGCTAGGGTTAGACCGCACAGGCTGAACTAATTCCGATTGGCTAATTTAAAGAGAGTGATGGGGTGACTGGTTTGGCGGGAAGAACGCTTACGACAGAGCAGGTAATTGGAATTAGTCAGGGTGAGTAGGTACTCGGAATGAGTCTGGGCGGGGCAGGTAATCGGAATGGGTCGGGGCGGGGCAGGTAATCGGAATGAGTCCAGGTGGAGCAGATAATCGGAATGAGTCCGGGTGAAGCAGGTAATCGGAATTAGGGTGAGTAGGTACTCCGAAAGAATCGGGGCAGGGCAGGTAATCGGAAAGAGTCGGGGCGGGGCAGGTAATTAAAAAAGGTTGCTTTAGGAGGAAATCAAGTTTAAAAGTAGAAGGCAAAGAATTGAACATACTGACATATTGATTGTTTGAAAAGAAATTCAAAACTCATATCTAACAATTTTTTTAGGGTTTCTTTAGTATTCTGGACAGAGGACAAAATCTCATTCTCACAAACATGGTGGATTCATTTGCTTTCCTCCTCCAACCACTTTTTTGCAGGCTCATTTCCATGTGGGGGCGTTCAATGTAGGTTTATAAACTGGTTTTTTTTTTTTTTTTTTTGAGACGGTGTCTTGCTCTACTGCCCAGGCTGGAGTGCAGTGGTGCAATCTTGGCTCACTGCAACCTCCACCTCTCGGGTTCAAGCAATTCTTCCTCAGCCTCCCGAGTAGCTGGGATTACAGGTGTGCGCCACCATGCCTGGCTAATTTTTTTGTATTTTTAGTAGAAACGAGGTTTCACCATATTGGCCAGGCTGGTTTCTAACTCCTGACCTTGTGATCCGCCCACCTCGGCCTCCCAAAGTGCTAGGATTACAGGCATGAACCACCACCCCCGGCCCGGTTTACAAACTTTCGTTCTTGTGATTTTTTTTAAAAAAATGATTAATGACCAAACACTACTGTGCGCAAAAGAAAAACCTTGAGCAAATTAGGGCAACTCCTTCCTTCTTACCGCAAAAAAAAGAACACCCGCCTCCAACCATGAAAGAAACCTTTTCATTCTGTAAATCAGTGTTTAGACAAGTGAAATCTTTTTTTTGAAAGTGGCATTGGCTCTTTCCTGTTGGTGGGTTAATTAACTAATTAGCATTTAAATTGGGAAAGTGGCTTCTCCTTCCAAGCCCCAGGAATCCTTTTCCCTCCCAGAGTGGCCTTTCTAGTTCCTTCCCCATTTAGGAAATCATTCTCCCTTTCCTCCATCCCTCCCCTCATTCCCCTTTCCTTCTCCGGACTAAAGTCACTCCTACCCCACCAGAGCCAAATTACAAATTTTCTTATATAAAACAAGAGCTTTTGATTCCTATGCTTCTGCATTTTATCTCACTAAAGCCCTAAGGGAAGGAAATTTTTAAAGTGTGGCTAATGGCTTAGAGTTGGAAATTGGAAGATACAGGATGGACAGAAATCAATACGTCAGTAAATTCTACAACACTAGCTAGAGATTTTGGGCAAGTCATTTATGCTGTCTAGGCCTCAGTTGAGTAATTTGTAAGTAAAGGACCCAAGATAATCTCTGGGTTCTAACAAAATTCTTCTATAAAACAGTGGTCCCCAGCCTTTTGGTACGAGGGACTAGATTCGTGGAAGACAATTTTTCCAAAGATGGTGGGGCAGGGGGTATGGTTTGGGGATGATCATCAGGCATTATTCTCCTAAGGAGCGTTCAACCTAGACCCTTTGTATGCACAGTTCACAACAGGGTTCGTGCTCCTGTGAGAATCGAATGCCACTGCTGATCTCACAGGAGGCGAGGCTCAGGCATACATGCTTGCTCACCTGCCGCTCACCTCCTACGTACAGCTCCCTTCCTGAGAGGCCACAGGCTGGTACGGGTCCATGGCCCAGGGGTTGGGGGACCCCTGCTATAAAGGATGTTCAGAAAAATCAGATTATAATTCGTTTACTACCAAGTAATAGCTCTTGTGCCCTTAACTTCCCACAGTGAAGACCGCTGGAGTAATTTATATCAACAGAAAGAACAAAAAAGCATAGTCAGTGGAAACTCCTGTCCCTCCCTTGGCTTTGTCTCCTCAAGCTAACAATGAGCAACTTGCAACAAATTTTGCTGTTCAGAGAAAAGGGAGAATGGAATTGTTACAATCTTTTCTGTCACCTAGGCTGGAGTGCAGTGGTGTGATCTTCACTCACTGCAACCTCTACTTCCTGAGTTCAAGCAATTCTGCTGCCTCAACCTCCTGAGTAGCTGGGATTACAGGCATGTGCCACCACACCTGGTTAATTTTTATATCTTCAGTAGAGACAGGGTTTCACCATATTGGTCAGGCTGGTCTCGAACTCCTGACCTCATGATTCTCCCACCTCGGCCTCCCAAAGTGCTGGGATTACAGGTGTGAGTGGCAGCCAAGAAATTGTTACAATCTTAAACAACATAATATCCTGAACATATTTGGCTTTTAAAGTATCATTAGATACACCACAATAGTAATAAAGGTTACCTTTGGGTTTTAAGATTATACATGATTTTTAAAAATACTTATTTCTGTATTTTCCAAACTTTTAACCATAAGATATTCCTTGACTTAGGATAGGGTTATGTCACAGTTAACCCATCATAAGTTCAAAAAATTGTAAGTCGAACCATTGTAAGTTGGGGACCATATGTACATGTATGCATATATGATATTAAAAAGTATTAGACATCTTTAAAATTTGACTTTTTAACATATTACTTTTATTTAATCACCTTGCTCAAGGAGCCTGTAAATTACATATTAATATTCTCTATTATGAAATAGGTCTTTCCCTTGTGCAAATTAACGCATTGTAGGGGTTCTAAACATCTATATGCTTTCCAACTCAAAAGGAATAAGGTTCCCTTTCTAATTTTTTTATTCAATTAAATAAAAAAACCATGAATTTAATGGAGTCTATTAAATTAGATCATTATTCGAGTACTTATTAAACCTTTTTAAAGTCGACAACACCCCCTGTCTCTTTCTTTTTAAGCCGGAGTCTCGCTTTGTCACCCAGGCTGGAGTGCAATGGCACGATCTCGGCTCACTGCAACCTCCGCTTCCCAGGTTCAAGTGATTCTCCTGCCTCAACCTCTCGAGTAGCTGGGATTACAGGCACCTGCCACCATGCCCAGCTACTTTGTTGTATTTTTAGTAGAGATGGGGTTTCACCATGTTGGTTAGGCTAGTGGCGAACTCCTGACTTCAAGTGATCCGCCCGCCTCCACCTCCCAAAGTGCTGGGATTACAGGCCTGAGCCACCACGCCCAGCCCCTTTCTCCTTTTTAAACATCACCAGCCTAGGTTCTTATTTCCACTGAATTCTCAGGCTAGTTGGGCTAGTGAGGGAGTCAGGTTACACGGGCCACAGAACAAGAACAAGGATTGTTCTTTCTCTCCCTCTTCCACTTCATTCTCTCTCAGCCTCTCCCCACCTCAGTAGTTGGTCTTTTCTCCCCCTTCTTTTGAAAGCAGAGTCCATTATACAGATGGACTTGTCTATTTCTCCACATCCCTCTTGGGCCAAATTTTCTGCCATGGGCACATCTACCCCGCCTTAGAATGTATATTAGACAATTTGACGTCTAGAATATCTTGTGGCAGAAAAGGATTTGGAAAGCATTGCTCCAAGTAGCTTTGATTATAAACTGGACCTTTTCGCTGGGTAACCTGAGCAGTTGAGAGTGCTCTTCCTCCTGGCCTGGAGCAGTGGCTCACACTGTAATCCCAGCACTTTGGAAGGCCGAGGTGGGCGGATCACCTGCGGTCAGGAATTTGAGACCAGCCTGGTCAACATGGCGAAACCCCGTTCTACTAAAAATACAAAAATTAGCCGGGTGTGGTGGCATGAACCTGTAATCTTAGCTACTCAGGAGGCTGAGGCAAGAGAATTGCTTGAACCTGGGAGGCGGAGGTTGCAGTGAGCTGAGATCAAGCCACTGCACTCCAGCCTGGGCCACAGAGCGAGACTCTGTCTCGAAAAAAGAAAAAATAAATAAATAGATAAATAAAATTAAAAAAATAAAAAAGGAGTGCTCTCTCTCCTGAATTGCTGACTCGAGGACTCTCAGCCTGTTTTATCATTTGGAAGGTGGGAATAATATATCTGCTTCATACACATCTTTTGAAGATTAAATAAAATGTCTGAAGTATCAGTGATTCTCATTATTCAAGTATTTGTTTTTTAAGTCACAGTTGCAAAGTTATATACAGAAGCAGAGGTTTTTATAACAGAAAAATATACACTTCATATACTGACCTCTTACAAAAATAGTCTCGCTCAAGTATCCCTCTATGTATCATTAACATCTATTTCCTTCTACCCAGCTAAAATAGTTTATTAATAATTCTTGAATGTCACAAGATAATACAGAATAAATCAGATAATACATTAAAATGCACCTGATAATCTATATGCACCAGATAATAGATACAGTATACATCAGGTAATACAGTACAAATTCAATGAAAGTTTAGTGTTGCAAAGGTAAAATGTAAAGAATGTCCTAATGTGCTCCCATACTGCTTAAAATTGTTATTATAGATTGCATTTTATTATAAATATATAAAGAATGATGTAATAGGCCAGGCATGGTGGCTAATGCCTGTAATTCCAGGTCTTTGGGAGGCTGAGGCAGGAAAATCACTTGAGGTTAGGAGTTCAAGACCAGCCTGGCCAATATGGTGAAACCCTGTCTCTACTAAAAATATAAAAATTAGCCAGGTGTGGTGGTGCACACCTGTAATCCCAGCTACTCCGGAGGCTGAGGCAGAAGAATTGCTTGAAACCAGGAGGCAGAGGTTGCAGTGAGTCGAGATCGAGCAACTGCACTCCAGCCTAGGTGACAGAGCGAGACTTTGTCTCAGGGAAAAAAAAAAAAATTCTCAATCACCTAGATTGAGAAATAGAACATTACCAAAACAGACAAAGCCCCACTATGTCCCCTTCCACATCACATTCACTTTATCTCCTCAAAAGGAAAGTGCTATTTTGAATTTGGTATTAATTATTTCCTTGCATTTCCTCCTACTCATATCATGTCCCTTATACATATAATATATACAGATGCCTATATCCTACATAGCAATGTTTTACATTTTGATTTTTGCATTTTCAATGTAGAACTTTTAACCTTAAAAATATGCTTCATACAGCCAGGCGTGGTGGCTCATGCCTGTAATCCCAGCACTTTGGAAGGCCAAAGTGGGCAGATCACAAGGTCAGGAGTTCCAGAGCAGCCTGATTAACATGGTGAAACCCAGTCTCTACTAAAAATACAAAAAAATTTAGCTGGGCGTGGTGGTGCGCGCCTGTAGTCCCAGCTACTCAGGAGGCTGAGGCAGGAGAATCGCTTGAACTCGGGAGGCAGAGGTTGCAGTGAGCCAAGATTGCACCATTGCACTCCAGCCTGGGCCACAGAGTGAGACTCCATTAAAAAAAAAAAAAAAATGCATCATACAAACATGAAATGGGCACATGTCTGGCTGGGCGTGGTGGCTCATGCCTGTAATCCCAGCACTTTGGGAGGCCAAGGTGGGCAATTACTTAAGGCCAGGAGTTTGAGACCAGCCTGGTCAACATGGTGAAACCCCATCTCTACTAAAAATACAAATATTAGCCAGGCATGGTAGCGTGCACTTGTAGTCCCAGCTACTCGGGAGGCTGAGGCACAAGAATCACTTGATCCCAGGAAGCAGAGGTTGCAGTGAGCCAAGATTGTGCCACTGCGCTCCTGCCTGGGCAACAGAGTGATACTCTGTCTCAAACATAAAAAAAGAAAAGAAAAAAGAAATGGGCACATATCAAATGTTAATTTGACTATTTAACTTATTAATGAAGGAAGCAGCAGGGTGTTAGAGCTGGGTCAAAGGAGTATAAGAGAGACTGGAGTGCTTACAGTCAGGGACAGACAGAATGCTGAAAGATTATGGAATTAGATATAAGTTAGTTAATATTTGAAAAGGCAACTAAACTGTAAATTTTGCCATTATCTTTTCTAACAGACCAAAATAATTTACATCTCTACTAGACAAACATTTGCCACTTTTCATTCCATAATTTACAGGTAATTTCATGGAGTCAGGCCCTAATCAATAGTAAATAGTAAAGACAACAAAGGATCTCTTCCTTAGACCTTGAAGTGATCTTTGGGTCGACCTCTTAGACAATAATTTAGTATGACATTGAAAGGACATGCAAGCCTGGGCAGCAAAGTGAGACCCTGCCTCTATAAAAAAATTAAAAATTAGCTGGGCATGGTGGTGTGAGCCTGTAGTCCCAGCTACTCAGGAGGCTAAGGTGGAAATAGCACTTGAGCCCAGGAGTTCGAGGCTGTAGTGAGCTATGATCACGCCACTGCACTCTGGCCTCGGTAACAGAGCGTGAACCTGTCTTGGAAAAAGGAAAAAAAAAAAAAAAGAAAAGAAAAAGAAACGAAAGGAAATGCAGCCATTCTTTTGCCTTATTTCCAAGTTCTGGATAATTTTTCTTTCTTAACAATATAAATATTATTACTTATGTATTCTTTTGCAATGTGGCTTTTCACTCAGTGTAGTTTGCAAGGGTTAGCCATGTGGATACGTGCTGCTCTAGTTCATTAATTCACTGTTGTATGTTGGTCTATGTAGGCAGATCACAATTTATTTATTCGTTCCCTAGCTGAAGTACATTTGCTTTCAAGGTTTTGCTATTATAAACACATCTCATACCTTTAATCAAATGATAATTTTGTCTCTTCAATCAGCTTTGATTTACTTTGTTCTAATACTAAACATGCAACTGTAATTATAATTTCATTATTGATAAATATAAACTAATTTCCAAAACATCACAAATCTTTTTTTTTTCACTGTTTACACTTTTGGTCTTAATTTTAAGTGGCTTCACTATATGTGGTTCTTTTCCTCTTTTCCCATACTGATTACTGGTACTGGACATATACATCCAAAATCAAACAGTAGTGTCCTTTTTAAGGGATAATGGGATGTGATGTAGAAGGGGCATAGTAAGGACTTCATCTGTTTTGGCAAATTTTTTCTTAATATAGGTGGTAGGCATGTGGAATTTATGACAAAAAGTTCTGTCTCCAGCCCAGTTTCTGTTACATAAAACCATATAATTAACAGTTAAACTGGATCTGGTTTGACACAGGTGTAGGCGATATTAATAATTACTCCAGAACGACAGACATAACTAAAAACTCCCACAGGCAAAAGGGGAAAATAGACAGTGTAAGGGCTGGGATGTAAGCCCATGTCGCCCACCTCCAAGCTTCATGGACCTTTTCCTTCTCCATGTTACTTTCTTCTTTGCTAGACTGTCCTGGCGTACCTGCTCTGCACACAGAATTAGATGAGGCCATCAGGTTGGTCAATGTATCCAATCAGCAGTACAGCCAGATTCTCCAGATGACCCGGAAGCACTTGGAGGACACCGCCTATCTGGTGGAGAAGATGAGAGGGCGATTTGGCTGGGTGTCTGAACTGGCAAACCAGACCCCAGAAACGGAGATCATCTTTAATTCAATACAGGTAAAGGCGAGACCCAAGAGCAGATACGGAGATGACATGTGCACACCTTGATTTCACTGTTAATTTACGTATGAATTGTATCTGAATTTGAAAACAAGCTGCAGGGGGTATTCATATATCCATTGTGATTGCCTTCAGGCTGACTTGATTTAACGTAGTTCATGGTCTTTAGAAAACATGAAACTCTATAAAGAAAATCAAGGCCAGGCGCAGTGGCTCAAGCCTGTAATCCCAGCACTTTGGGAAGCCGAGACGGGTGGATCATGAGGTCAGGAGATCGAGACCATCCTGGTTAACACGGTGAAACCCCGTCTCTACTAAAAAAAAAAAAAAAAATACAAAAAACTAGCCGGGCGAGGTGGCAGGCGCCTGTAGTCCCAGCTACTCGTGAGGCTGAGGCAGGAGAATGGCGTAAACCCGGGAGGCGGAGCTTGCAGTGAGCTGAGATCTGGCCACTGCACTCCAGCCTGGGCGACAGAGCCAGACTCCGTCTCAAAAAAAAAAAAAAAAAAAAAAAAAAAAAATCAATTGAAAACACAAAATACTTTCTAATCTAGAAATGGCTAATTCTGCTTAGAGTTATAGGGCTATAACTGATAAAGGTAACCTTGAAGAAATCTGGCCAACGTAGTTTTTAAGAGAGAAGACTTACAAATAAAGCAATTTGAGTTCAAAATTTGACTCTGAAACTTACCAGCTGAGTAAGCTTGGGAAAGTACCTGAACCATTGTAGGCCTCAGTTTTCACCTGTAAAATGGGAACAATAACAGCTGTCTTAACATGTACACCTATAAAGTGATTAGTATAGATTTCTTATACAAAACAAGAGCTCTGTAAATTATAGCTCTTATTAGTTGCTGACACAATAAAGCCACTGAATTATCTTGAGAATTAAACATTTATATGTTACTCTTCACATAAAAATATATTGCCAGCTGGGCACGGTGGCTCATGCCTGTAATCCCAGCACTTTGGGAGGCCGAGGTGGGTGCATCACTTGAGGTCAGGAGTTTGAGACCAGCCTGGCTAACATGGTGAAACCCCATCTCTACCAAAAACATAAAACATTAGCCAAGTGTGATGGCGCACACCTGTAATCCCAGCTACTCAGGAGGCTGAGGTAGAAGAATCGCTTGAACCCGGGAGGTGGGGGTTGCAGAGAGTGGAGATCGTGCCACTGCACTCCAGCCTGGGCAACAAAGTGAAAGTCTGTCTCAAAAACAAAAACAAAAATAAAAACATATTGCCATCTTAAATTCCACCTATACCATGACTCCCAGGTTCAGTCAATAACTTTTTGCATAATACCCAAGTGACTTTTCTTCCTAAGACATCCCCCCTCCAACACACACATTACCTTAATCTACAATCAGGCTAGTGATTCCTGATGAGGCTGGTATCGAGGGGTTCCCAGAAAGACCTGGATACAAAAATTACTGGGCAGAACAATTGAAGATGCAATATTCTGTGTAGTATGTTATGTTGGTACCCTATCCAGATCCCTGGGGATCCCTTTTACCAGCTCCCATTGGTGCTGGTGCTGCTGCTAACTGCTTATCTCTGAAACTTTCTCCCAAAGATTGCCCTTGGGGCACTTATGCCCCAGAGTTTCCTGCAGGATCAGGCTGAGGCTAATGGTCATCTGAAGCCATATTCTTGCTTAGCTGCTTTCTCTTCTCTAGTTTGCTTTCCTCTCCCCTTAAAAGTCGCACCTGAGAGCGCTCCTTTATAAACCATTTCTGTCAGAATCTCAGGCACTGCTTCTAGGAAATCTGACTTACAGCATTCTGTAATCCAGCATTTCCCTCTTTTTTCAAACTACAAAGCTGTGGATCATGCATGATTTGAGAAATAAGTTTGGAAAGTCACAGCAAGCTCATTAAAAAACAAGGTTAAAAACCATACAAAAAATAGACTAGGACAAAGTAGAAAATATTAGCATGTATTGCATTTCATAAGTCATATGCACATCATGGAATTTCATTTCCATTTTCTATGTGTATATGTGTGTAAACATATATACACACACATATGTAGACATACATGTGTGTTTTGAGTCATGCTATCAAGTGTATTCATTACTACAGACCAGTCAAAGAGTTTTGAAAGCCGCTGTTCCAGTCCCCGCCAGCTCTCTGATTCTGTAACTCCATTAGATCATACTCAAGGAAGGTAAAGTAATTCAATATATTCGATCATCCTCATATATACAGACTTTCCGTTTAATGAGGAAAACGTCTTGTCTTGAAGAATAAAACTTGAAGAAAAATTTTAGCAGTGCTTTCAACCTTTAGAAATCTACAGTCAATATTTAGTTGTTTTTACTATTGTCAGTATTTCCTATTCTGTGCTTCAATTTACATCCATTCTAGTGTCTCTGAGTAACACTAGCAGATGTGTCTAAAATTCTTTATGCTGATAGCAAAGGCACTTCTATATAAAAACCTCCACATAAAATAAAATTATGGTTTTCAATTATACATTTTTATAACAATTATTACCACTAAAGAGCATTTACTAGGTATCAGGCAGTGTTCTAATAACGTTTTCCATTTATCAGACCATTTAATACCCTCAGTGACCCTATAAGGGAAGCAGAATTCTTTGCCCAGTTTTTCAAATGAGGCACAAAGGAGGTTAAGCAACTTGTCTGAGCTCACACAGCTAGTAAATGATAGAACTAGAATTCAAAGTCAAGCAGTATTTCTCTAGAATGAGTGAACGTAACCACTTTGCTAAACTGCCTGTGAAGTTACTTTTCTCAAAACAGCTCTTATGTCACCATGTAAAGAAAAATACAAACCCATAAAATAGCAAGTGCTGAAGAGAAGCCTTAGGAAAGAAATATACAAATTCCAGCAAGTGAAAACGGCTATGGCCCCTGGCTGTATAATAGTTACATAAGTGTTTACTTTATAATTATTTAAACCAAACATAAATACTTTATGCCGTTTTTATATATGTTATTGTCACAGAAAGAGAAGGGAAAATTTAAAAATCATTCTCTTAGGGTTACATCAAGTTGCCTATCAGTTCAGTTCCATTTAAATGATTCAAATCAAAGTCTATGCACTGGAGAATTCATTAAGAGAGTAACATACTTGTTATTCATTAAGAGTGACATAAATTTTGCATTGATTCTTGCCAAAATCACATAAACAACTATAAATTGTAAATTTTTAGGAAAACTCAGTACAAAGCTTGGTGCAATGCAATAAAGTTTGTGGCACAGACAGTAATAATCAGCAAACATCCCACCTCCTGTTCATATTTTCCAGCTCCCCCTGTGGTTAAACGTTGCCATGTGGCAAGTTCTGGCCAATGAAGTGTGAGCAAAACTGAGAAGGGTTCTTTGTAGACTGAGACAGTGGAGAGCCTATGTGTGCTCATCTATTCTCTTTTTCTGCTGAGGGCACAAAGGAAGTCATGAATTCATCTGCTACAGCTATGAGATAATGTGCCTCTGCCTACCAGGCTCCTCAGTGTTTACTGGTATGCGGCCCTTGTAACGGACACATAACATGAACAAGAAATAAATCTTTGTTGCATGAAGCCCTAGGAATGCCGGGACTAATCTGTTACCTCAGCACAGCCTAGCCTATCCTGACTAAGGTGGTATTAAATTACTATTGAACGTGTATTGGGATTTAGTAATCTTTTACTGTATAATCCTTCTTCTGTAGGTAGTTCCAAGGATTCATGAAGGAAATATTTCCAAACAAGATGAAACAGTGATGACAGACTTAAGCATTCTGCCTTCCTCTAATTCCACACTCAAGATCCCTCTTGAAGAAAGTGCTGAGAGTTCTAACTTCATTGGCTATGTACTAGCAAATGTTCTACAGCATTTTAAGGAACATTTTAAAACTTGGTAAGTAGAGTGCCTGGTTAGGAATGCCTTGTTGACAGGAATAGTTAATTCTCAAAAGGGAAAAACAAAACTTGTTTGAAAATACCTGGAAAATATGTTTAACCTCATTGATAAAGACATGAAAACAAACAAGATGGCATTTTCTGCCTATCAAATTTGCAAATTAAAAAACCCCCGGGAAATCCTGATAGGAATGTGATGAAATGGGGATTCTCATATATCATGTATTAGTGGGAACATACATTGGTTTTGCCTTTTTGAAAGCTATTTGTTTATGCATATGAAGAGCCATAAAATTTCTTTTTGATATAATAATTCCACTTCTGAAATCAATCCTAAGGAATAAATCTAAATTTGATGAAAAGTTCTCCCTCCAAGATCTACATTTACAAAATTATTTAAAATATTAAAAATGTTAAACATAATCTTAATGTGTAAAAATGAGACAGTGGTTAAATAGATTATGGCTAAATACATTCAATACATTTTATGAAATGTTAAAAATATTCAAAAAATTTATATAATGACTTGCTAACTACTTTAACAAGAGCTTTAATATAAGCCAGTCTTGGAGGTGATATTATTATCATCATTTTACAGAAAAAGATCCTGAGGCTCAACGTCCAATGTCCAATGAACTACTCAGGTCGGAGGTGGTAGAGCAGAATGTGGAGCCAGGTCTCTCTCTGACTCCTTCATCACACTGTACTGCTTCCTGTTAAGATATTTGCTCAAAAAATGCAAGATATAAAAATCTGGGTAATATGATCAATCTTAAAGAATAATTACATTTTAAGTTACTCGTAAGGGACCTTGTTAGTAGGTCACCATCAGTGTGTAATTAAGCCAGATGTGACAGGATTTGCTGCCTCTCCCTTTACTTCTGAATTATGGAGGCCTTTTTTTTTTTTTGGTTATATCAGTCAAATGACCAACATCTTTTTAGCATCTACTAAGTTTAGATACGGGAACTAGGTACTGTGAAAGAGAAAATGAAAAATTTGACAAGATCCTGTCCCCAAGGAGCTTCCTATCCAACAGGGAGCACAAGACAGATAGACAGACATACACACAACTATAAAGCAAGGCAGGATTTAGAGAGTTCACAGGAGCAGGCTCTGGGAGTTCGGGGGAGGGTCGTTCACGTTCTCGTAGGGAAGAAACTTCTGAGCTGGATATATTCCCTTTCTCACCGTCCTTCTATCCCCTCTCTTCTTCTCCTTTCCTCTTTCCTCTTCCTCCTCCCACTCTCTCTTCTCCCTTTCTTTCCTTTTTCTCCTTTTTTTTCTTTTTCTTTTTCTTTTTTTTTTGAGACAGTCTTGTTCTGTCGCCCAGACTGGAGTACAGTGGCATGATCTCGGCTCACTGCAACCTTGGCCTCCTGGGTTCAAATGATTCTCGTGCCTCAGTCTCCTGAGTAGCTGGGATTACAGGTGCACACCATCACACCTGGCTAATTTTTGTATTTTTTAGTAGAAACAGGGTTTCACCATGTTGGCCAGGCTGGTCTTGAACTCCTGACCTCAAGTAATCCACCCACCTTGGCCTCCCAAAGTGCTGGGATTACAGGCATGAGCCACCATGCCCAGCCTCCTCTCCCTTTTCTTTTTTTTTTTTTTTTTTTTTGAGACAGAGTTTAGCTCTTGTTGCCTCGGCTGGAGTGCAGTGGTGTGATCTCAGCTCCCTGCCACCTCTGCCTGCCGGGTTCAAGCAATTCTCCTGCCTCAGCCTCCCAAGTAGCTGGGATTACAGGTGCCCTCCACCACACCCGGCTAATTTTTTGTATTTTTTGTAGAGACGGGGTTTTGCCATGTTGGGCAGACTGGTCTGGAACTCCTGACCTTAGGTGATCCGCCTGCCTCAGCCTCCCAAAGTGCTGGAATTACAGGCATGAGCCACCACACCCTGCCATCCTCTCCCTTTCTTAAAAATACATCAATTAATTAAATATATAAATGTAGACACACACACAGGCAGCATCAAAGTGTATAGGTTGGAGAGGAGACTGTTCCAAAAAGAGGGACGGCATGGGCAAATACAGCGAGAAAGAGTAGAACATCTAGGTACTGGGGGCGCTGGGAAGTCCTGCTAAACTGGTCCCCTCACACTGTGGGGCCTTTAAGTTTCCCTGTGTCAGGGCACCTCCCCTCTGTGAGTTTGGGTTCCTTCTTTGGTTGCAGGCAACCAAGACCAGCTCAGCTGAAAGAAATGGAAGGATGCTGACTCACGAATCAGAGGGGAAGCTGGACCACTATGCCCAGAGCCAGGCAGACACGGGTCGGGTCTAGAGTCTGGGAGGAGGAAACCCATGGACAGTTGCTTCAGGGCCCAGCGCTCACGGTGAAGCAGCTGCAATTGTTTTTAGTCCTCAGATCACTCTGCTCAAGATGTGACTTGCCAGGAGGAATCTGGCTGGCCCAGCTGGGACATGTGTGTCCACCTCTAGACCAGGAGAGAGGAGAGTCTTGGTTGACAGTCCCCATGTCTACCTCTTTGTCTAGGTTACTGAGTCATCAACAGATCTCAGTTCAAAAAGTCACTTGTTCAGGGGCAATATACCCTCTTCTACCCATAAACTAGGGGCAACATGCCCTCCCTCCCCTTTCATACTTGACCATTACACCATGCAGCGCTCAGCTCTTGTAAGTTGACATTTACCCACGTGGCTCTTTATGAACGTTTATCTCCATCCCGAGACCTACAGTCCATGAGGGTACCACCATTCTAGGGTTTTTGTTCTTCTCTTTGTCAGTGGGGACTTAAGACTGTGCCTGGCACAGGGCAAACCCTCAATATTTGTTGAACAAATAAATTAATAAACACATGTAAATGAATATCAGTAGAATACAACAAGAGTAACAGTAGGTGAAGGTGGAAAGCAAAGGTGGGAAGAGGTCAGGGCTCTGAGTGCCGGGCTGTGGAGTCTGAGCTTCACTCTGCAGTGCTGGTGAGACGCGATAGGTTTTAGAGAAAGGAAGCCTCATGCTGGTGCCCCAGTAGGTACTGACTTCGCGTTTGTAGCCAAATCAAAGTTTTTCCCGTAAAGTCATCTATCTCTTCCCAGATGTCGGGACTTGCAATGGCAATGGGAAGTGAGATACTGAGTAATTGAGAGATCAAGTATTTTGATCTCTCAAAATATTTTACTAACAAGGCATACAAAGTGATTTTTCACAGGCAATGTTAATGTTTTTCTTTTTTATGTATAGTTTTAAAATTCTAAAAGTAACAAAATCACAGCTACCAAACATTTAGACGACAGAAGTTATCCATAATCCCACCATCGTAACACAACCACTATTATCATTTTACTGTTTTCCTTATTCACATTTTCTACTTATTTTCTTAGATTCCAAGAAATAGAATTACTTGTTTAGAGGTTATTAACATCTTATTGTTCTGGATATATATATATATTGCTAAATGTAATAACAGCAATGTCTGCAGTACCAATTTCTCAAATAAATACTAATTTGCATTTCAATTTTTTTTTGAGACAGAGGCTATCTCTGTTGCCCAGGCTGGAATGCAGTGGCGTGATCTCGACTCACTGCAACCTCCACCTCCCAGGTTCAAGCGATTCTCATGCCTCAACCTCCCAAGTAGCTGGGATTACAGGTGTGCACCACCACACTTGGCTAATTTTTGTAATTTTTAGTAGAGATGCGTTTTCACCACGCTGGCTGCGCTGGTCTCAAACTCCTGGCCTCAAGTCATCCTTCTGCCTCAGCCTCCCCAAGGGCTGGGATTACAGGCATGAGCCACTGTGCCTGGCCTGGCATTTCAATTTTTAAAATCTTCAGTAGTGAATGAAAAATTTTATCTTATTGTTATAATTTTATGGTTTTTTATTGTTCATGAGAATAAACATTTTCCAAGTTTGTTTACTCACTGAATTTCTTTTTTCTGCATCTTATTCAGTATCATGGATACAATTTCGTCAATTTTCTGATTATATGAATGCATTCAGGGTCCCAAACCTGCCAAAGTTTGAAGGCAAAGATACTAAGGGGAAAACCAGGAAAAGATGGTAGAAAAGAATCACCCTGGCATTGTCAATCATGTAGACATTTGCCAGGTGCCCTAGCTGCAGGTATATGGCTCACTGAAACATGAATTCCAATTATAGGGTGAAATATATATTTAGAACCCTCTTTTGGAACTTCCGTCTAGTTATCTAGCATCCTAAGTGCCTGGACATTCCTGATTGGTTTGCAATGTGTTTTATTTCCCATCCCCAAGTTTCACAGCTGCTGGCCCTGGGATTAATAGTCACAGGCTGTAACACAGTGTCTTGCACATCCCGAGTATTGAATAAGCTTTTGTAGATGGATTCTTACCATCAACATCATCATGAAAGGCAAACATACAAAATTTGTTGCCTAATGTAATGAGTCATGAGTAACCGAAGTTTATTGACCAAACACTACGTACATGTAGAGTACGGAATAAACACTTGATTATCACATCCGAGGAAAAGACCATTTTAGAGGCTCAACAACCCAGGAAAACTGTGAAGATTTCTTCAAATTGTTAAGAATATCCATGCATACAGGTTTCACATGATTTTGCTATATACAGTATCAATTTTTCCAAAAGCCAAGAGCGTTTTATTCTATCACCCATCCTGGACATTTACTCCAAGAAAAAATACACTGAGTCTATAAGTAATGGATTAGTATTTTGATCGTTGCTGCCTTTTTTTTTTTTTTTAAAGGTAAGAAGATCTAATGCATCCTATATCCAGTAAGTAGAATTATCTCTTCATCTGGGACCTGGAAATCCTGAAATAAAAAAGGATAATGCAATAAACGTAGTTGCAGGAAAGTATGTTAGCTATATACTATGAAGTACTCTTAGTTTACTTATGTTGAACGACTTAGCTATTAATACTCAAATTGAGTTAAAATGAAAATTCCTTCTTAAAAAATGTAATGTAATATGTATTACATTTTACGGTACATTAGTAGTTCTTTGTATATTGAAAAAATACGAAATCACCTA